GAATGTGTCACCTGCAGATCACGTTGCACCAAAACTCCCGGTTTTCCTCCCTTTATTTCGCATATAGAGAAACTCTGAACGTTGTTTTTCCCACTGCACCTCCCCGTTGGTGCCCCCTTTGTCGGGCACCGGACATGCTGCCTGGCCCCATCCATGCCCCGTCCCTGGCTTTGTGCAGAGGTCACCTGGGAGACATCCCGGTCCCAATAAAGGTCCCTTGTATGAGGAGGCGCTGGTTTGGCTCCCGGCGGTGCCTCATCTCCGCTCGGCAGGAACGCGGCAGCTCGGCGGATCCTGGGCTTATTCTTCCCTTCAAAGGGAAGCTTCTGTTCCAGCCTCTCCTAAAGATCAGATGGAAAAGATTAGAGCAGCGGCGGAGCGGGCGGGCGCCACGCTCCCGGCCCCCCCCTTCTGCCCGGCAATAGGCTCTGGTAACAGCATCCCCTTTGCCTGGAGTCCAAGCTGGAAGCGAGCCCCCCCCGTGTCATGCTGCCACCTCGGCCCTTCCTGCAAGCTGCGTCCGGCCCCGCTGCCAAAGCCACCACATGTGGGGCAGGGAGATGGGGGGACACTGCTCATGAGGGCCCTGGTGTCTCCAGAACTCAGGCTTCTGCTTCTCTGGTCTTATTTTACCCCTATTTTGCTGCTCTTTCTCCCTCCCCCGTAGGTCCCCGACCTTTGCTGGTGGCCTCTTTGCCATCTCCAGATCCTACTTTGAGCACATCGGCTCCTATGACGATCAGATGGAGATCTGGGGGGGCGAGAACGTGGAAATGTCCTTTAGGGTAAGGAGGGGTTGGTGCCATCTCCAAAGTGCATCTTCAGGGCTGCTCCTTGTTGGGGGGTACGGGGACTCCCCATGTCTCAGGCCGTGCCTCCCTCTAGGTCTGGCAGTGTGGGGGTCAGATTGAGATCATCCCTTGCTCCGTCGTGGGTCATGTCTTCCGCTCCAAGAGCCCCCACACCTTCCCCAAGGGCACCCAGGTCATCTCCAGGAACCAGGTCCGCCTGGCTGAGGTCTGGATGGATGACTACAAGGAGATCTTCTACAGGAGGAACCAGCAAGCTGCGCAGATGGCCAGAGAGGTACTGGGCACACCAGCGGGCTTCCAGGAGGGGTTGATCCTGCTGGGAGCTCAAGCCTGAGCAGGGAGGGGGAGGAGATGGGCTCAGCCAAAACCCTATTTATGATGTTATTCTATTTGGTCATCGTGTTTTCTAGTAGAAAAACAGGGGGGTTAATTCTTGTTGTTATTTTTACAACATTAAAACGTTGTACTGTGATGCCAAAACATCCCAAACCTGGAGCCAGAGGGTACCTGCCCAGTGCTGGGGTGTCTTGCAAGACCCAGCCACCAGTCCCAGTCCCTGGCCAAAGCTCTGGGCTCGGGAGGGATGTTTTGCTGTTTCCTTGCTGGCTTCGGAGGTTAGTTTAATTTTCTCACGTGGCTTTGTCGATAGAAGACGTATGGTGACATTACAGACCGGCGCAGGCTGAGGGAGCGGCTCCACTGTAAGAACTTCACCTGGTACCTCCAGACCATCTACCCGGAGATGTTCGTCCCTGACCTGACTCCAATGTTTTATGGAGCGGTAGGTGCCGGATGCCCGGAGCATCCCGCTGGGCTCAGTCCTTGGCTGGAAACAGCACCGACAGGGAAGACCCCAGAGGTTGGGTTTGGGGGGGTTGCATTTAAATCAGCGCTCTGGAAGGTTTTGGTGCAGCCGTGTCCGTCACCGTCACCACGTCCATCCCTGGCTGGTGGGGCCGGTTTGGGCTCTGGCTGACAAGGAAAGAGCTGGAATCCGGCAGAGCTGGTTTGGGGCGAGTTCCGGGGTGGGGGTTCTGTGGGGACGTGGCACTGGGTTAAAGCATTGGGTTAAATCAGGCGAAAGAGCTGAAAGCTTCCCCAGGCACCACGCTGGTGCTGACATGTACAGGGTGGACCTGAGAGATGGAGCGGGGGCCAGGCAGCCGCAGAGCACCGGCTCCATCCCTGAGCATAGAGCTGCCAAAACCCACCCCTTGGCTCCAAGCTGGGTGTTGGGGTCTGAGTCCTGCCCCCTCACCCGGGGGGATGTGGATGCAGAAGGCAGGGCAAGGGCTGGGCGCTGGCTCCCGACCAGCTTTTCATTCACCTTTGTTTCCTGAAACCTCATCCCGGGCACTCTCACCTTTGGCTTGGTGGGACAGAGGCGTTGGCACGGGGTGTTCCGCATGTCCTGGAAAGGACAAGGGACCCGGACACAGCACCTAGTACCGGGATTGTGTTTGTACAGCAATAAGTGCCCTGCAAAACCCAAACCCAAGGTGAGTCCCTACCCTGGGACCTTGCAGCACCATCTCACTCCCTTGCCCCTCTGTCTGCGCCCCTGCAGATCAAAAATGAGGGCACCAAGAGCTGCCTGGATGTCGGTGAGAACAACCACGGTGGGAAACCACTCATCATGTACCCCTGCCATGGGCTGGGAGGCAACCAGGTGGGCACTCATCAACCCCAGCCTTTCCCTCTCCTCCAACCACCCTGGTTGTCCCCCTCTGACGTCCCATCTCTGGTCCTGTCCCCCCAGTACTTTGAGTACACGAGCCAGCGGGAGCTGCGGCACAACATCGGGAAGGAGCTCTGCCTCCGGGCGGGCGCGGGCTCAGCGGAGCTCCGTGAGTGCCAATACAGAGGGAAACCCGGGCGGGTGCCAGCCAGCGAGGAGTGGGACCTGGCGCAGGTGAGGAGATGCAGCGGGTTCCCCTAGGAACCACCGAGGGGATGGTGGCATCATCCCCCTGTGATGGTGCTTTCCTCATCCCCCGGCATCGCTGAGCTGAAGCCGTCTCTGTTTTCCATCAGGACCGGCTGATTAAGAACCCGGCCTCCGGGATGTGCCTGACAGCGCGAGGGAAGCACCCGGCGATGGTTCCCTGCAACCTGGCAGACCCCCACCAGCTCTGGTCCTTCACCTAGAGCGGCCCAAGCCCCCCGAGCTGCCCCCGACCGTGCTCAGGAAACCGGAATCCAACCCAAACTTCCTCTTTTTTAATTTAAGAAGCAGAAGCCTTAAATATGCTGCATTTCATGGTTGCCTTGAACTCAGTCCTGTGCCTTTGGAATGGGGAAGCCTGATGAGCCAAGCTCAGCTGGCCATACCCCCAGAGCCTGAAACGCAGCCCAAGGATGCTCTTGGGTACCTGCTGCTCATCCTCCCCCTCCCTGGCTCCAGCCAGAGACTCTGGAATTCATCTCGGGCATTTAAACCTCCCCCCTGCACCTGAAACTCCTGCCAGTGAGGAGGAGGATGGTGACCAGCTGGGCAGCTCATCCCATGGGAAGCTGGATCATGGGTTGTTGTGCCCTGTGTGGACAAGGGAATTCCGCCCTCCTCAGTACTGCCAGGATCCAGCCCTGGCTGCTGTGGTGCTGCCAGGATGGTGGAGTTGGACCCAAGGGACCAGCCTGGATGGTGGAGTTGGACCCAAGGGACCAGCCTGGATGTGGAGGGGAAATGAGGATCCTTTTATTACTCTTTTTCTTCTGATGGTGACTCCTGGGCACAGCTCATCCTTGGGCTGAGCTGGAGGGTGGCTCCAATGCACAGCTCCAATGCACTGCAGCATCCTCCTGGAAAGGCTCTCACCAGTGCCTGGCACATTCCTCCCTCCCTTGGTTCTCTTCAAGCCCAACTACTGTAGGTGCCGCCTCATTGCCATGGCATTTAGAATGGGGAGAAAAAACCCTCCTGGAAGTGGCACGAGGATGGAAGAACTCGTCTTTGAATATATGACATCGAATAAAGAGATGATTTATTTTATGGAGATCCCGTCTCTGGCTTCCTCTGAGCTCCCACCCCTCCTTACAATCAGTTTTCCTCCCTTTTCTTGCCCTGGAAACTCCCTTTTGCAGCCCAAAAATGGGCTTGAAGCTGGTTTTGTAATGAGCTGTCCCATTTGGGGTGGTTCCAAGTTGAGTTGGGGTGTCCTTCTGCTGGGGTGGAGACTTTGTTTTTGTCCCTCTCTGTGGTCCCTTCTGTGCCCATAAAACAAATAAGCGATTAGTTGGAGACTCTTTTCCATGTGAAGTCTCGTGTTTTCCTTGCAGATAAGAGCAGAACTGCAGCAGGTGCTTTTCTTTCTTTCCTTTTTATCTTTTTTATGTGGGTGACCAGCTACGGGCGCTGTGTTCCAGCGATTGCTCCACCAGCGGAGCAAACCCCTCAATGCTGTAGGTTCAGCCCCCAGAACAGCCTCAATTTCTTTCCAAAGGGTGAAAAACTCAAACTGTTCTGGCCAGAAATCGGGATTTTGTTGCAAACAATCTTGGTGTTTCATTTAACCCCAAGTAACGCCCCATGGAGGTTGTGTCTGGTCCCTGCTTTGGTTCTGGTTGTCCTGGGTGGGTTTTTTGGAGGGGGTGAAGTTCTTGCCTTGTATTTGCCTTGTTTTCCCTGTGCCAGGGCAGGCACCCTTCACGTGTTGGATAAACCTCTTGGAGGCATCCCACAAATAAACACGATGCAAGAGCTGCAGCCGGGGCTTAAGACTGGAAGAAACTCATGACACCATTGCCTGAGATGTGCAGAAGAGGAAGGTGCAAGAGGGGGCATCGTCTCCCCGGGGTTTGGGGCTGCCTGTCCGAGGCTGATGGAATCTGGGGGTTTTTTGCATGGACCTTTGGGGCCATGTGTGCTTTGGAATAGTGACCAAGGCTGCTCGATAGGGCCGTGGCACCTGGTTTTCTTCCCATCCCTCCTTCCCTGCCCCTTTTAAAGCCGCCGCGGTGCAGCCCCCGCCGCAGAAGCGCCACCGCGGTCCAGGATGATGCTGCAGCTCCTGCTCCTCGCTGCCCTTGCCCTCTGTGGTGCGTGCTCTGCGGGAAGCCACTGGCCTCAGTGGTGACAGCCCTTTGGGTGCCAGTCGCCTGTCCCCATCCCCACCACCTTCTGTCCCACAGGGCGCTGCTCCGAGACGGCTCTCGATGGGGTGCAACGGGTGGTCGGTGGGACCGAGGTGCTCTCGCACTCCTGGCCCTCCCAGGTGGGTCCTTCCTGGAGCCAGATGAGAAATCCCACAGGGATCTCACTGCCCGGGACCATGTGGTGACACCCCCCCCATGTCTTGCACTCGCCCTCCCCAGATCTCTCTCCAGTATTACGCCAATGGTGGCTGGCATCACACCTGCGGAGGGTCCCTCATCTATAAAAACGGGGTGCTGACGGCAGCCCACTGCGTGGATAGGTGAGTAGGCACCAGGACCTTCCTCTCATGGAAAAGCTGTTTCCTACCAAAAACCTTTCCAAAGGGAAATTCTGGCTGCCCCAACCCAGAGAGCAACAGTCCTTTAAGGTCTTTGATGGTTCTTCATGAAGAGGTTACATGGACCATCTCTGGGAGCATCTTTTTCCTGCACTGAACCTCTCTGTTTCGCTTCACTCTTGAAATATCCATAATTCAGGCCCTGATCCTAAGTTATTCCACCTTCCCGGCAGTGGCCTGACGCTGCGTGTGGTGGCCGGTGCTCACAACCTCTATGTGGAAGATGGCAACGAGCAGATCCTCAGTGTGAGCAAGATTGTCATCCATCCCAACTGGAACGGCGACGCTGCCAAGGGGTAACGCACGGGGAGAGGGGGTTTTGGGGAACATCGCTGGGAATGGGATGGTCCTTACAACGTTCTCTCCCTCCTCTCACCAGCTACGACATTGCCCTGATCCGCCTGTCCAGCTCTGCCCACCTGAATAACTACGTGAAGCTGGCGGTGCTGCCCAAGGCGGGATCCGTCCTGACCAACAACTACCCCTGCTACATCACAGGCTGGGGGCTCACCCGCAGTGAGTGCCCATGGGTCACCCTGGCCCTCAGTCACCCCCAAACCATGGGAAACATGAGAAGCTGAATGATCCTTTTAAGCCTTTTGAGGTCCCGGGAGGCATCATGCAGGGCTTTGGTCAGGGTGTGGAGTTGCCCAGTGGTGGTTGGGGTCATGCCAAGGTTTGAGGGGGGGTTATGGTGGGGAAGGGTCTCAGTGGTGGCTGTGGACTCTGCTTTGGCAAGGGGGTGGTCGCCACGTCTCTCAGGTCTTTACCGGCGTGGCCTTAACTGGGGCTTGGTTGTGTGCAGCCAACGGGCAGCTCTCCAGCGTCCTGCTGCAGGCGTACCTGCCTGTGGTGGACTACCAGGTCTGCTCCAGCTCCCAGTACTGGGGCTCCACCGTCAAGACCTCCATGGTGTGTGCCGGCGGTGATGGCGTGCACTCCGGCTGCCAGGTACACCCCCAGGACCTCATTTCCCCACTGGCATCCCCCCAGCATCCCCCTTCCTCCCATTCCACGCTGCTCCTCGCCCACAGGGTGATTCCGGAGGTCCCCTCCACTGCGCGGTGAACGGGGAGTACCAGGTCCATGGTGTCACCAGCTTCGTCTCCAGCCTGGGCTGCAACGTCCAGCGCAAACCCACTGTCTTCACCCGCGTCTCTGCCTACACCTCCTGGATCTCCAGCGTAAGGCGACCGCTTGGGCACCAAGACCTGGCGCTGTCAGAGCTCCACCCCTGCTTGGCTCAAGCATTGCCTTTCTTCTTCTTCCAGGTGACACGCCAGAAGTGAGTGGTGGCAGAAGAGCCCAGTCCTGCTCAGGGCACGGACATCATCTTCCCACACGTGATCTTTGGAGGGGTTTGAAAACATCGTTGGGTGTCAATAAATTCTGTTCCTCTCTCCAGCGTGCTGGTGGCTGCTTTGTCCCACAGCCAGCAATCTGCCTCCTCCAACCCTCAGCAATCTTCCAGAGCATCCCTTGGGCTGCATCCCTCGGGCTGCATCCCTCCTCTTCCTCACACCTTAGGGAAGAGCTGCTGGGAAAAGCAACTGGGCCTGTGCTCTCAGGGCAGTCAGGAAGTTCTTGGGGTAATGGAAAAGGGGAAAACGCTGCAAATCCCAGTCATGGGCAGCAACACAGCACCTTGGAGAAACAGAAGTATAAGGGGAGATACAGAAGGATAAGGAGAGAAACAGAAGGATAAGGGGAGATACAGAAGGATAAGGAGAGAAACAGAAGGATAAGGGGAGAAACAGAAGGATAAGGGGAGAAACAGAAGGATAAGGGGAGAAACAGAAGGATAAGGGGAGAAACAGAAGGATAAGGGGAGATACAGAAGGATAAGGGGAGATACAGAAGGATAAGGGGAGAAACAGAAGGATAAGGGGGGATCCAGCTGGGAAAGGGGAGAAACAGAAGGATAAGGGGAGATACAGAAGGATAAGGGGAGATACAGAAGGATAAGGGGGGATCCAGCTGGGATGTTTCCCTGCCATTAACTCCATTTCTTTTCCAACCCCACCTCCCCTGCAAAGAGAGATGTTGGATTCAATGACTTGCCCCATGGCTCCATCCTGGAGCATCAACCATGCCACAAGCCCACCTGGCACAGGGACAAAACACCAGCACCAAAACTGCCCCAAAAGCCAAAGTTACCCCAAACCAGCCAGTGGTGGGGGCGGGTGCAGGTTCCCCAGCACCGCTGGGGGTGCACAGGGCAGCCTTTCCGGGGGGACGCCGCGGGTGCCCGGGGTGTTTGGCGGATGCTTCGCCTCCAACTTCCTCTACCCAAAGCACCAAACCGCAGCGAGCGG